CAATGAAACGCAAGGTTTTTAAAACAACCTGCTTAAAATAACATCTGGCCAAAAAGGCAACTCGAGTCTCAAAAAAAGATTATTTACATAGATACATAGATAAGAGACTCAAAACTAACTGACTGACTGTCTATGAAGCCTCTACACATACTGAGATGGATGTTGGGACAGACCCCGCAACATCCTAACAAAACAAAACTAAGAACACAAAATAATTGAGTTCTCCGGAAAGCAAGGAGGCTCACCACTGACTCTGGAGTGCTTAGCTGGATCAACGACGTGCAAGATGCTGATCCGGGGTACCTGTATTTGCATAGTCATAAGATGCAGGCCAACTGGCATCAATACATTGAATGTACGAGTATGCGAGCTGGAAAGCTAAATCACGACTTAAGCTTGAAAAGAGTACAAGAGAACACTTACCTTGGCTCTGTTCAACTCATGAATAACTGAACTCAATATATAAAGCAATAAGACACATGCAATATATAAAGCTTGCAAAACTCTTAAAACATGACGTAAAGATCATATTTATAATATCATGAAAATACCATGTTTTCTCTCAAGGTCTACTTGTGCAATGTATGAATGAAGTCCCACACCCCCATCCGTACTAAGCAGAACCCTCAAGGAACCATGCTCTTTCTACTGTGGGAGCTTCTCTAACCGACAAACCACCACTATGAATATGAGTGGTGATACAACGTTTTACCTCACGTTGCCCGAGGACCATCCTATACCTTGCCGTGATATAGGAAGCTAATGATACAACGTTTTACCTCACGTTGCCTGAGGACCATCCTATATCTGGTCTTGATATAGGAAGCTAACTTTACTAAGTGGATCCACTAGTTTAACTTTCGTGATCATCTAAAAAGTATGACCCGATAGCTCCCATGTTGGCTACATGGTTCTTATGGAGAGTTAAGTTTAATATGAACTCGCGTCCCCAAATCGGTGCTCGATACTACTCCCAAAATGCTTTAAACTCATAAGTGTTTTAAACACATCTTTCTTTAAATGAGATAATTACTCAAAATCTAGCCCAAAGGCTCACTTGGAAAACGATGTTCCTTTTTCCTAAGGCTCTTTTGGAATGATAGTTCCTTTCTTACTCAAATGTAAAAACTTTTAGAAATTTCTTTGGGAATACATAGTTCCCTAATAGCTTTTGAGAAATGAACTCAACTTACACTCTTGACTTAACTTGAGTCTTGAGACTCTTTACTTAGCTTGAAACTCTAAGCTCTTTGCTTGACTTGAAACTTGAGTCTAAGAATGAAGTTAAAACGTTCAATGAAGACTCTTGAAAAGCTTGGAGGACTTGCTTGAACTTACTTCTTAACATGGCTTGACTTGACTCTAACTTCTCTTTAACTTGATACTAACTTGCCTTGAATTGGACTATGGATTCAAGGTATATGATCACACGTATTTGGATGAGTTCGGGATGTTTAGAAACACTTTGGGGTGTTGGAAACAACTAGGGAACATAGGTATAACACCTAGGAACATGCATGAGAAAGCATGGAAGGAAAGAGGGAACATGGCGTCCTTGGCGCTCTGCAAGGCACGGAGCGCCAGCCCTTGCAGCTCAGAGGGCCAACTGAGGCGCTCTGCGGGGCGCGGCGCCCCAAGGGGTGAAGGTCAGAGCACTTCTTGGGGCACGACACGCCACCCCTTTTCCCCGACAATTTCGACTTTTCTCCCTCTTTACTCCAACTCTAAACCTTCTAATCGTCAAGGTTTCCAACCCCAAACATTTAGAATCATAAATCCCTCAATATTCAACAGATTACAACTCAAAAAACAACCGGAAACATGCCCCAAATCACAAGGGACTTCAACAACACAATCAACAATATCAACAACACAACCATCAACTTCAACAACACAACTAATCCTCTTTCCCAATAATAAAATGAGTTGGGGGTGTGGGGGAAAGGATCAACCCACACTAAGAACTCACATACCTTAATAGGGATCACCCCCGACGATTTCCACGACGGAAACTTGTTGATCTCCTCTTCTTCTTCTCCTTCTTCTCTTCTTCTTCTCTTCTTCACTCTCAAGAACCCTAACTTTCTCTCTTTAAAATGGGATAAAAATGATCCAAAATCAGCCTAACACACCATATAATTCCAAAAGAAATGGCTAGGGAAAAAGACCAAAATGCCCTTAATTTTCCGGACAGATTTCCCTGCCAACTGCCCAACTTCTAAAAGGCATAACTCGCTCACACGAACTCGGAATTGAGAAAACTCGGCGGCGTTGGAAAGATCATTCCACAAGCTTCACAACAATAATTGGAAATACCCCTAACTCATCATGAGCTGGAAGTTATGACTGCTCAAAGTTGGCCAAAAACTCATTGATTTCCACACTTTGCCAAATTCCAGATTTTCAAATCCTTTCCAAAAATGAAAATTTTCAAATTCCAAGCCTCGTCTTAGCTATTTCAAATTGTCGGATGTTACAGTGAAGATATCCATAAATGAGTAACTTGAGTACCACGCCGGTACGCTAACTATGGATAGCTCGGATACCATGCCAGTACACTAACAGTTTGATTTGGGTTCCATAAGAGGACCATGTTTGTGTTTATGGTTCCAAGAGAGGGCGACTGGCATTGCATTTGTGATCATGTGAGACATGCATCCAGATATATGTTGTTTCATGCCCTATGACTGGGAATCGGTATGCATTGATAATTGTTAATTTATGTGTTGTTCTGTGTTACTCATGTACTGTAGTAAGTAGTTTACATTCATATCTTGGACTGACCATGTGATCCTATCTGTACATTGTGGTTTGTGTACTGATACTGCACTTGTTCTTCCTTATTGAGTACATGACATCTTCCAGCAGCTCCAAAACCTCAGTTAAGGGACGTCTGACTTCAAATTCAAGGGTTAGCTATTCTTCCTGGTTGTCATAGATTCCTCTATTTTTTTTTGTACATCTTTCTGGACTAAGACATTGTTAGAATTTTGTCATTGTTTTTGAACGTCAGAGTTGCATCCCCTTTAGTTTAGAAATTAGGGTTTTGGTACCACGACTTTCATTTCCTTGGGGTTTATTTCCGCATAATTGTTTTAACTATTGGATTGAGTTTATGGGGACTCAATTCTTTAATTGGTTGTCTAAACTGTGTTTTCTATTTATTATGATGAACTTGGTTTATAAAAGATGTTTTGGGTTTAGTTATGGTTAGTTATCGATTCTCCTACCAGGTGATTTAGTGTGTGTCACTCACGACAGTCTGAATTGTGACAGAAGAATACACATATTGCTCCTTTGCGGGGGAGGGAGGGGTGAATCTAAGCGGGTTGGGTTGGAAATTGATTTTTTTTTCTATGTGGGGCAGGTTGAAGTCGTCGCGAATTTATACACCCACAACTGCCCACCCCATTTGCCATCCCAGAGTAAATACTAATAATTTCACTTAATGAAAAAACATCAAAAACAAAAGTCAAAGTGGAAGGATATACATTTGTGTGTTGTACCTTTCATTTGAAATTTCCACGTCCAATAATTCAGTCGTCTTTCTTGACTCTCTTTGTTTGTTTGTTTTCTTTTGATGGAGATCTGTTCATGCATGCATGTAGAGTTTAACATCGATTTTAAGTTTGATTTTACTTGCTCAAGTATGGTGAATAAAAAATTTCGTTAAGGATGTTGAAAGTTATATATATGTATGGAAGATATTTTTTAATCTATATACTTCGTATAATTTTTTATATATAATAATATAATTTTTGACGATGGGTGTCCGGCTGACCACCCTAAGCTATATGTGGCTACTAGGTTGTGTAAGTGGTGATATTTCTTGAGCTAATGTTTCGGTTGCAAAAGATCGTATATTAATTAACTAGCACAAAATCAAATAATCCAAGCAAATAAATAAATTGAAATAATAGCAAGATTTAACGAGATTCGATTAATTGTTTATGTCCTTGGAGTAAAAGCGGAGAGAGTTTTTCACTATATATGAGAACCTTACAAGAAAATGTACCATAATTAGGATTTAGTCTAGCTTTGATTTTTTTTTCTCCATTATTGTACTATTTTTGTTCTTATCTATTTTGTTGAATATACATAAATGGTGACAAGTTGAATTTGATGCTTGAGAGATAGATTAAAGTCACGTTCACTTAATTAAACTATCAAAATGAATTTCAAAGTGAGAAGAATAAAGTATCAAAATGAAAATTCAAAGTGAGAAGAATAAAGTGGCTAATTAATGCAATTAAGTAAATGAAGGGAGAAAGAAGACTAATAGAGTGGAAAATTGTGTAACGTTTATTATTATTGAGAAGGAATAAACGTTTGTTTAACGGCTAAAACGTTGCTTTATTTTTATAAAAAATAGTTTTTCAGAAAAGTAGTTTTACAAAAAGTAATTTATGTTTAGCTAATTCATTTGAGGAAGTGTTTTTGATAAATCAAGTTGTATTTGACTAATTATGTTAAAAACTGCTTTTATTTTTTAACAGTCAAATTACAAAAAATGATACGTATCAATACTATAAAGTTTTAATTAAATTTTTATTTTTATTCAAATAAAATGTACATATGTAAATTTTCAATCAATATATACATAGATAAATAAATAAATAAAATTAAATATAATATTAACATAATTATTTAAATATTAAGCAAAATAAATATTTAGTGTTGAAATAAATAATTTTATGCTTCTCCTTGTGTTTTTTAAGAAGCACAGTTACATTTTTTTAGTTTTTTTTTCTAACAACAGACAAATTGTTTTTACGTCCATTTAAATGCAATTATTCTAATTAGCCGAATAAGTTGGTTTTTCAAAAAACAAAAAATAAAAAAATCTTCAACATAAATATTTTTGGCGTTCCAACCATTTCAAAGAGGCTCTGATATTGATCATCATTAACTATGATATCCATTTTGAAATTTCAAAACTGACTAGTATTATTTTCTTGTCTGTAGAATAGTACAATATAATAAATGCGTACTATAGAAATTACAAGTAAAATGTGATATTTTTGTGTTGTAGTTTTCACTTGAAATTTCCAAGTCAAAACTTGTGCAAGGACTTGAAGAACAATAAATACATTTTCATTCATGTATCCATAGTTGTCTTTCTTTGACTTTAATGTACTAAGATGTGGAGCAGCGGAAGTGATTGAGGCGCACTTCATGAATTTGGACGAGTTCATTATTTTTTCGTAGATTTTATATTGGAGAAATTACTTAATTACACTTCTTTACTTACTTTAATATCCATTTAAACGCTATGTATCCCGTGCACAACGTTATGTATCCCGCATGTATCCCATGCACAATGCTATGTATCCCGCTATGTAGAATGTATCAAACCAAATGTATCCCGTGCACACAGAGGCGAATTTAGAATTTTTCGAATATGGGTGCACCAAGAAAAATGTATTAAGTGGGAATTGATTCTCAGTCCTCAAAGTCAAAAGCTCAACATTTAACCATGTGGATCAACTAGACTTTTTATAGTACGGGTGCAAGAATATAATATTATACAAATGTTAGAAAATATATGCATAAAATATCTAATTTTACGAAGAGACCACAGGTTCGAACGCCCTATTTTTTGCACTTAAATTCGCCACTGCGTGCACAACGCTATGTATCCCGCAAACATCATTTTTAAGGGATTTTTGGTAAATAGAAAACTAGAAGGGATAGGATGTTATTTAGTACTTATAATATGTGGTTCCTATAATTTATACTTTTATATTTATACTAGAAAATTAATTATATATATATGTATATTAATTCATGAATCTCTAAAAAATTGATTGATAACTTATGGTAAAAAAGGAGTCGTGTAAATGTTTTCATGCTAACCCCCAATCTTTTAATCCTGGTTCTGCCTCTGAAGTAATAATATTTGGATGAAATTCACAAATATGATTTTATTTTTGTAATTAAAAACTATTTTTTTTGTCTGAATTTATGTGACACATCGAATTTCAAAATTCAAACAAATCTATTTTGATTGTAAATTTTTCATATATCTTTTAAATATTTTGGATTATCAATTATCATGACTTAATTATAATACTTTTACATAGTTTCTAAATATATAAATATCATTTAAAAAATTAAAAATTTTATGCGCAAATTTCTAATTAAACTTAAATTATTTTACTTTTGAAAAGTGAAATATGTCATAAATTAGGTCAGTAGGAATAGTCATTATCAAGCAAATAAAAAAAACAATAAAAGTTGTAGAAAGATAATTTGGACAGAGAGATGTGTCATAAATGAAACTGATCAGTTAGCTTTCTTATTTATAAATGAATAGAAGTGTAGTTATTTTTTTTTTAATTGGGATAAGACATAAATATCTTTAAATTATTTCTGAAATTTCAGCAATAAATTTAAATTTAATTAATATTTTATTACTTTCTTATACTATTTTAAAATGAAATAAATACACTTTAAATGTTGTAACGTTGAAAGTCTACGTACTCTCTAGAAAGCAAATAAAAAACAAACAAAAAAATGAGAAAACTTCCTTCAATATTATACACATCATTTTTAATTGGTTATTTTACAATTAGTTAGTACATATAATTATTGACAACTTAATTTATATATGTTTAATTATTTTTATTCCCTCCTCACTTAACCTTTTTATTTTTCTCTCTTTCATTATTATTATTTTTTTTTATCTATTTTCAATTCATAATTATTTTTTTAAGAAATTAATTTTTAAAAGTATCCTTTAATTTTAATGTTTTAATTATTTCTTTTATGTGTATTTAATTTTTGCACTTATATTGACAGTTGTCTTTTTAAATACAAGACATTTGAAATCAAATCAAAAGGAAAGACAAAAAAAATAAAAAAATAAAATAAAATCAATAGAAAAAAAGAGAAACAATTAATAAGGGTTAAAAAAAAGTTTTTATTTTTTAAAATTCCGTGTGTTAACTTGGCTTAAATACAAGGTAAAAGAAAATAAGAATATTTTTCTTAACTATATTTCTTTAAAAAATATATCTATCTATATATATATATATATATTACTATATAAGAAGAGGGAATAAGTATTCACCACAAGTCAACATGTGTTTTACTATATAACAAGAGGGAATAAGTATTCACCACAAGTCAACATGTGTTTCAATAAGAAGAGGGAATAACCAATATATTTATAAAAAGAAATGACATATAAAATAAAATGGAGAGAGTATTGGTTTTTCAAAATGGAAAAGGACAAAACACATATAAAAAAAGTTGGTTTAACTCTCAAACATAAAAAGTAACATATGTTATTAAAAACTTTAATAAAAAGTACTATAATTTACAATAAATAATAACTTCAAATATCTACAAGACAACAAAAAAAAGACTAATTTTTGTACTACTTGTGTCACATAAATTAGGATTGGGACGATTTTAAAATTTTAATTTTGGTTATACATTATAAAATAGCCGAAAAATTGAATGATATAATTTTTTTAAAAATAATCGAATGAATCGTCCTATCGATAACCCTAATGTTACTTCTACTCTGTTTATTTTACTTAAATTTAGAAAAATATGCTTTATTTCTACCCTCAATCTTATCGCTACATTTATTTGCTATTTAAAATTGAAATTAAAAAGACAAATGACAAATAAGTTTCTATATTATCTCACTTATGAGCAAAATATATTATAACAATCTTTACTAATTTTATAACAATACATAAACTATACTCCCTCCGCCTCATATTAGATGGGCACTTCCAACTTTACACGGTGATTAAGAAATCATTAATACATTGGAAGACTTCACCATTTTGCCCTTTGTTTATATCAATGCACATTGAAATGAGTTACAAAAAATACACATACAATATAGGAATGGTCATATTAATTGTAGGGGTAAAATGGAAAAGAATTAATTAATTCTATCCTAATTTAATAAGTGCTCAAATAATATGAAAAAAATATTTTTAGTAAGAGTCTCATCTAATATGGGACGGAGAGAGTAACAATATAACTTTATTAATGTTGGACCCGGGCAACGTCCGGGCTTTCTTTACTAGTATATATATAAAGGAGGACCATAGATAAGGTGATGTGGCACCTCTCTATGGCCTCCATTTGCATTTAGCTTTTTTCTTCTTTTTTTGGTTTTTTTTAAAAATAAATTAATTATTATATTATAAAAATAAACTACTTAAATTTATGACAAATAAATATTTTATTGATGGAGGAACATTTATAATAAAAACTCTTCATATTATTTTATTATTTATTTGTCTCACTTATAATAAAAGGAGAAACATAATTTATCTTTTTTTGACTTTTTTTTTTAATTCAAATTAATTATTGTATTGTAAAAATATATTACTTAATTTATACAAATAAATATTTTATTAATGTAGGAACATTTACAACAAAAAAACTCTCCACATTCTTTTTTCTATTTTTTTTTTATCTCACTTCAAATCATGAAATGATAATATTTTTTTTTACATTTTAAGTATTTTTATCTTTATTTTTTAATTGATTCACAAGGAGTTATTACCCATGACTTGCCCCTCTTTAATTTTTACTTTTAATAATATTCATAACTCTCATAATTTTTATGTCCATAACCTTCAAACTTAAATTTGTAAGTTTATGATGTCTTATGGTATTCCTTTATTTTGTCTATAAATTCATATTAGTTTCATGAAGATTCACATTCACAATTATCCTTTCTCTTTTCATCATATTGGTTTGGTTTGTAACAAAAAAGAAGTACATGAAGGTAAGAAATATTTCATTGCAAAATTTTATTTTTTATTTCCTCTATTTTTGTCTATATAAATTCGTATTTGGTTTGTGAATGAAACTAAAAAAAAAGTACATGAAGTTAATAAATATATCATTCTCAAGTCCTTATTTTTTCATTTCCTCTATTTTGTCTATATATATATATATATTCATATTTATTTTCATGAAGATTCACATACAAAGTCATTCTCAAGTGTTTCTTTTTATTTTTATGTACTTAGACATGCTTTCTTAATATTTTTTAATGTTTGTATTATCATTCATCAAGCAAGTATGATTAAAAAATTCTATGTAATTCTTAACAATGTTTTGTCTTTATGCAATTGCTCTTTCTAATAGTTACTTTTCCGGATATAATATAATCTGATTATAATATTTGTTAGATTTCAAGAAATAATTATTATTTAGTATTGTTAGTATTATTGAAAAGATAATATACAAATATATTACATATAGTTTAAATTTCGTTCTTTCTTTTGACATAATTATTTTTAATTGGTAATATGATTATTTTTTTTATTCAGTTGGTTGCATATAATGAAGAGTTTGACATATGGAGCAAAACATGATGACGGATCTACTTGCAAAGGAAGATGATAGAAGGAAAAAAAAACGAAGCATAATTAGAGATTATTTTTTTACTTTGAATTGTATTAGCAACTTAGTTACTTTTGTTAGAATTTTCTAAATTTTGATTTGTATAAATAATTTAGCTAAATATATTATATTGTCAATGCTAATCATTTGATCCTTTATTATTCTACTTTTTCTTTGTTATGAAGCAAAATTAATATAATTATCTCATTTTAACAACAAAAAAAATTATGATGATTAGGAGTTTCATTTTTATTATAATTATAAAAAAGTAATTGAAAAATAAAATATTATTTTCACGATGCCATTTTTTGCGTATGTAACAATCTATTTTCGTCACCGTTCTTTTTGCTTTGAAATGTAATTATAATTTTTATGTAGTCACCAATTTTTATATTTTCTCTGTTCATTTTTTGTATTTTCACCCCTTATTTTTATTTATTTATTTTACAAATAAAATCAATGCATAATTAGTAATACATTTTATGTCTAATAAAATTATACATTTGAATTATTTATAACTCATGTCTCTTCATCTTACTTGTAACTTTTAATATTAAATATTATTCATAACTTTTGTATGTTTCATTTTTCATAAATCTTATAAATATTTAATTAATGTTTAAAAAATTATAATAAGCAAATATAATAATAAGGACATAATAAAAAAATCAAATTCGTTTTGACGAAATTAGAGTTTGAATAGAAAATTAGTACTCCTACAAAAGATTAAAACATATAAAATATTTTCAACGTAATACAATATATTGTTATTTCAACATATTATCTCTTATTCCATTTACTTCACCACGGTGAATATTTTGTTCTACTATATACATATACAAAAAAAATTATATTTTATATGTTTAAAAAAAAAAAAAACTATGATATCGCAGATGAAAAGAAATATTAATATTATCTATATATTCGATACTAACCTAAATATTACATATTTCATATTATTATCTTATAAATATTTCATATAGCCGCGCGAAGCGCGAATAATTTCACTAGTAATAAAATATTTACAAGTGTGGCAACACGTGTATCATCGCAACTATTTGAAATTGAGTCTTGATTCCATGTCACCATAGAAGGTGCACGAAATTATAGAAAGAAAAAAAAAATTGGGGAGGGGAATAGGTTATTGTAAACTAATTAAGTTAAAGTGTATCGCTTGTATTTTAATTACAATTTGAAGGATTTATTTGTGTCTTATCCCTTTTAAATTTAATAGATATTACTTTTTTTGTCTCAATTTATGTGACTTACTTTCCTTTTTGGTCCGTTCCAAAAAAAATGACACATTTCTATATTAAGTAACAATTTAACTGTAAAATATCTATTTTACCCTTAATGAAATAATTTACATCCACACAAATTTCTATTATTCATTTTGGACCACAAATTTTAAAATACTTCATTTCTTTCTTAAATTTCGTACTGAGTCAAATTACCTCATATAAAATGGGACGGAGAGAATTGTACTCTATTAATGAAAAAAGTTAATATAATCTATATATAATTGATAGACGACAAAAATATATACGCACGTAGTTCAAAACAAAATAAAGACGACTTGAATGGATAACTAACACATGGTTGAGTAAAGTTACGTTAATGAGTCAAAATGAAAATTCAATGTGAGAGGAATAAATAAAGAGTTTAGTTTGTGGTAAGAGAAAGTGACTAATTAATACTTTTAAGTAAATGAAGGGAGAAATTAAAGAAGATTAATAGAGTACGTGGAAAATTGTGTAACGTTTATTTATATTATTGAGAAGGAATAAGATAGGTCATAGTTAACTAGTCATACGCTTAATTGGCATAATACATATATTGGACCCTAAACTTGACTTCAAATTTCAACTTTGACCTCCAACTTTCATAGTGCACAAACAAGCACTTTAACTATCCAACCTTTTAATAAATAAACACACGATTTTTGGAGCAAAGAGCGTGAAATGCAAACGCTTCCACGTGTATTAGTGAGCCACTCAATGGCTGCCAACTAATTAAACACTTTACACGTCCATTTTAGAACTAAAAAATAAAATTAAATTAATTAAGGGTAGAGTTGTCATTTCAGCATTTTTTTTACTGTTGTGTGCCTCAAAAATTACTTCTAACTCGCGCAAAATGCGTGCACATCACGCGTTTTGCCAGGTAAGACACGCGTGTTTATTTATTAAAAGGTTGGATAGTTAAAGTGTCTATTTGTGCACTTTGAAAGTTGGAGGTCAAAGTTAAAATTTGAAGCCAAGTTTAAGGTCCAATATATGTATTATGCCTACTTAATTTGACCGGAAATATCCATTTTGAAGTCGATATAATGTTCGTATCTTTATAATAGTATAATAGGATATAAGACACAAATTTTTCTAGATTATGATCGAAATTTCAGAGACATATTTAAACTAAAGTAAATTTCTAAATCAAAACTAGAGGACCAATAACATTTTCATTCATCATCAATAGTCATCTTTCTTAACTTTAATGTATTGGTTCTAAGTTTGATTTTTAATTGCTTAAGTAGATTCTAGGATGTGGAAGCGGTGATGATCGGATAAAATTAGGGAGGACTATGGGGAGTGCGGTGTGCGGCGGGGATTGAGTTTAATTTGTAAAAAAATTAATTCGCTCAGTATAACAATTTTTTTTTTCATTTTCAATTTGCTCCGTATAAATCCGCCCACATGAACCAGTCTCACATAATTTTTTTCAATATTTTCCCTTTCTAATTAAGCTTGATACTAAAAATAAAATTTATAAAAAAGAAAATTTATTTTTTCATTATGTTGTATTAATTTAATAGATAATGACTTAAAATCTTATTTTTTTAGAGGTCAATTGATGTAAGAAATTGTATTAGTTTTTGATTAAACCATTTTCAGTTACTATCTTGAATATTTTAGTAACTTTAAAGAAACTATTTTTATACATAATGCTCTATTAATGTTATAACATATAATAAGTTAAAATTAAGTTTGAACCCGTCCTCCCCACACCGCCCCACGTAGCCTTAAAACCGCCCTGTATCCGCCTGCCCCCATTGCCGTCCCTGCTTATGATTATGGATTTTTGTAACAAATATGTATTAATTACTAGACCGTGTGTCTAACAACTTTCTTTATTAGTAATAACAATTCTCTGAAGAGAGAAGTACAAACAAGAGGGTCTAAACGTTACCGTACACCAATGCTAATGAAGTAACAAACCCTAGATAAGGTTAGGTTTACAATATCGAAAATGATTTTCATCATTCGTTTAGTCGTTATTTAGGAACAACCATTAAATGGTTTTCTTTGCTTGTTACTAGCCCAAAGTGCTCATCAACGTCCAAATCACAAGGTTGCATGCCATTTGGAAGGTCCAAATCAAAGCAATGCACCAATTGTGCCAACATAAGGCGGACAACGGTGATCCCCAGCGGGATTGCAGGGCAACTTCTTCTACCAGAGCTAAATGGTAAAAGTTCAAAATCCCGTCCACGAATATCTATACTACTTCCAACAAATCTCTCTGGTAAAAACTCCTCAGGCTCGGGCCAAACATTTGGATCCCTCTGAATTGCATAATGATTTATCACGATTCGTGATCCCTTTCGTATATGGTAGCCATCAACGACACAATCTTCCATGGCCTCACGTTGCGTTATTGGTATAATGGAATGCAGCCTCATTCCCTCTTTCACAACCATATCTAAGTAGTTCAACTTCTCCAAGTCTGACTCTTTTACCATTCTTTCAAGTCCTACCACTTCTTCCAACTCCTTTTGGAGTTTTTTCATCACATGAGGATGTCGAAGAAGCTCTGTTACTGTCCAATCTACCAATGTTGCTGAAGTATCGATTGCTGTAGCAAGCATGTCCTGTTACATATAAGACAAATTAGGATGAACAAATTTAAATCGTATATAATAAGAAGAAATACAAGGGATATATGAAATTAAATAACATACGATGAGAATAGCTTTTATATTGGTACGATCAAACTGAAACTGTGTCTCTCCTGAATGCATAATGTCTAACATCGTGTCCACCAAGTCTTTGGATTGCTTTTGGTCACGAGACTGTTCATGTTCATCGATTATCTTCTCAAGAAATCCATCAAACACCTTTGAAAGTTCCTTGAGTTTACGCGTGATTCCTTGGAGATCAATTACACCAAGGAAGGGGAAAAAATCTCCAAGATTTGGTGTTGCACCTAAATACACAACTTCTTGAAGTATACCTTTGAATCCCCTCTTGTCCAATTCTTCATCCATGTACTTCTTTCCAAACAACATCGAACAAGTTATGTCAGCACTCAACTTTGCAACTTTTGCACTAAGATCAACAACACAACCACCATCATTTTTAAGCGAGTTGATCTTACTTCTTGTGTTCTCACGGATTGAAATGAATTGATCTTTTGATGAGTTAAAAGGTCTAGAGTGACCAATTTGCGCATATTGTGCCAGTATGGTCCATACCTTGCAAATACCAAATTCTTATGACCGTATGACAAATACTTAGCTAACTCGTTATAAGGCCTCGTAGCAAAGATATGATCATAAGTTTTGACGAATTTTTCGGCTGTATCGACAGACGATGCAATATATGTAGGTATTGGTCCTAGTCTAATATGGAAAAATGGACCATATTTCTTTGCTAGGTTTCGTAAATCATGGTGTGGGTTTTTCCCTAACAAATGAAGATGTCCTAAAATGGGGATTCCCCTTGGACCTTGTGGAAACTTTTTTCTCTTGTGGATATTTAGGAACTCATACAAGGCATACACAATACAAACTACTACTAGTGTTTCCCATATCAAAGTCATGGCTAGCTAATATGACTTCCCTAACTTCTAACCTCTAATGGAATTTATAGAAGCATCAATTGAATAGTACATATGGAACTACAAAAAAATACTCAATTTATGGGGGTTATTTTGTCAATTTGAGGCAGTTTTTGACTCTCACAATAAGAATTGCAGCGGTTTTTAAAAACGCTACAATTACCTTTGCCACGAGCATATTTGTGGCGGTTTTAAGAAACCTCCATGACGACCGCCACAAAATCACTTTTTAATTTGTGGAGGTTTTTTAAAATCAATTTGTGACATTTTATAACCTCCACCTTATTCTTTTAATATTTTTAAAAAAATATGTTTGCATGGATTTAAAATTGCCACAAAATGATATGAATATTCACAAAATCTAATTTGTGGAGGTTTGTGACCGCCACAAATTGTTATATTTCTATAAAAAAAAATATTTTACATCAAGCCTTTGTAATAATACATATGAATACTTTCTAAATATTTAATGTAAATCATATTACATTTTACAAATCAGTAATAAAAACTCATGTATAGCAACTTGAGTGTTACAACTTAAAATCTAAAATAGTTCCATATCAAATAAATATTAAAAAGAAGTACTATGCAGTTATTTGGTAACTTGAATTGGTGCCATTACTTTTTTTTTTTCAAGGTGAAGTAAACTCGATCTTCATCATCACTTCATCACTAGGTTGAAAGCTTGAAACCATAAATAATTTATACGTAATTAGATAAACAAATATTGATATATATATATATATATATCCTTGTACACCTTGATACAAGAAGAAAAATCAAAATTTAATTCATTTAAAACATAAATTCATATGAACCATTGACTTTAATAAGCTATTAGTGAGGTCGTACTCATCAATTTAAAGAGAATGTAAATATTTTTAAGCTCTCACCCAAAAAGAAGTAACATGATGTGGTTTATTTCTATCATACCTTGCTACCCATTTAAGTATGTTGTATGAAATAGTTATATTTTCTCCTCCCTTAAGGCATTCTTAGATGAGATAAAACTAATTTGATAGTTATCAATAAGAATCAAACAGATTCAAGATTTAATAAAACGCTAGTCGTCGTTCATATTTACATAAAAATAAAATTGAGGCTTATCTTCAATCAATTGTCTTTATGGTGCGTTGAAAACTCAAGAAAAATATCCTGAAATATATAAAAGTATAGCTACATTAAGTTTAACAACTTACAAAGTACATATTTATTTTCAAATAAAATAAAAAAATATATAAATCTCAAATTTTAGTGTGAATTCTGAAATTCAAGTGACAGAGAATTACCTTTATATTCACAAAAATATTATAATCAAATCCGCATGTTGTACACACTTATTGCTCTGAGAATCACTTCATAAAACCTACAAAGAAGAAGTCAATTAAAAAAAAATTACACATGCACACACAAAATTCTGATTGAACAAAAGAACAAAATAAGTTAAAAAAAAAAAAAAAAAAAGGGAGAGAGCATTTTAAGAGTTACCGAATTGTGGAAGTGGGGAAGTGGGACAGAGATTTGGGAGTTTATTTTGTAGTGGGAAGGGGGAATTGTATTTGTTTCAAATTTTTTTGGGAGGGAATTTTAGTCCTTAGAAAATTTTAATTTTGTGGGAAAAAAAGGTAAGCGTTTTAGGATTTTGGTTAGACTAATTAGGTTAAAAGTTTCCTTATAACTACTAATAACTAATAATTAGTAATTAAAATATTTTATCTTGAAAATCAAATATTATAAGAGCTTAAATAAAATTAAATGCACACACACAAATATAATAAATATAACAATTGATAAGACATCTATATTTTATTTTAAAATATGTAAATTTATTAGAGAAATAAAAACTAGAAGTAGAATTCAAATTATATTTAACTCATTAACGTAAAATGATCTAGCACAAATCAGACTTAGTAATGTGTGTTTGGCCATAAAAATTAAATTAGTGCAATTAATAGGTAGTAATTACATAGTTTAGTAATTGCACAATATAGTTAGTACAATTATTTATTTTTTATCAATTATAATTGTAAATGTATTGTTATATTGCACAAGTATAATTACACATTTAGGCTAAATTTTCAAAATAAATTTTGTTGTCAAAATTTAATATAAAGTAGCAATATATAAAAATAAAACACTAAAAAGAAGTTGAATAGACAAAGTAGAAAAGGAATATTTTGATAGATATATATAAAGTATAGAAAGAGAACGATGTATATCTGTGTCATTGGGTATACGTATATTGTGTTAGTTAAATTTTATTACTATTTGTCATAAATCATAAAATATGAATATTTAATAATATATCAAAAATAAAAGATATATAAAAGGGATATATTTTCTAAAATATTACAAATTTATGGGAGTTAATAATCGCCACGAATTATGAAATTGTGGTGATTTCCAAACCTCCTCAATATAATTGTCACAAAAAGATTTATTTAGTAGAGGTTAAAACAAACGTCACAAAATAAAGTAATAGAAGAGGTTTTTAAAACTTCCACAAATAAACTGCTACAAATTGAGCATTATAATATTTGTTTATTGAAAGTAACCATTGAAAGGTCTGGATTAGTTTATCATATATAGTACTGATATTCAAATTTGGCTGCAACTATCAATTTGATATTTAATATCATAGGAACATAGATTATAATTATGTCTTTTAGAATAATATATATTGTTGAATAATTGCTTATTCAATTTTAATAATGATTTAATAGATTATTTATTTGTTTATATGTCCATTTACTTATGTGGTAGATGATTTTTAGTGTATACAATTTTAACTTACACGCATATGAGTGAATCAATCTAATTAGGATGGAAAATGGACAAGCCATCTGTATATATAATTGTAGCCTTAAAACCGCCCTGTATCCGCCAGCCCCATTGCCGTCCCTGCTTATGATTATGGATTTTTGTAACAAATATGTATTAATTACTAGACTTTGTGTCTAACAACTTTCTTTATTAGTAATAACAATTCTCTGAAGAGAGAAGTACAAACAAGAGGGTCTAAACGTTACCGTACACAAATGCTAATGAAGTAACAAACCTAGATAAGGTTAGGTTTACAATATTGAAAATGATTTTCATCATTCGTTTAGTCGATATTTAGGAATTTATAGAAGCATCAATTGGATAGTACATATGGAAGAGTCAATAATATTTTGTTTATTGAAAGTAACCATTGAAAGGTCTGGATTAGTTTATCATATATAGTACTGATATTCAAATTTGGCTGCAACTATCAATCAATTTGATATTTAATATCATTGTGGATACGTAATTTTTGACCGAACATAAAATTTTACATTTCTTTTATTGCTGAAATATTTTTATAGATTTAAATTAAATATTTTGAATTTTTTCTTATTTTAGTAAATTTATTTTAGAAGATTTGAAAATAACAAAAAAAGATATGTTTTGTTTTAATTTTAGTTTAACAAATAAGATAGTATTTCTTAATTATAATTTATTATTAGCTACTCAATTTTTATTAGTTTAAAAATAATTAAATAATATTATATTATATTATATTAATTATTTAAAAAAATTATTTACCCACCTACCACTTACTCTCACCCATAACCCCACATCACCCACACTACCCCCACAACTCCCTCACGCCCACAACACCCCTATACATACTACACTAATACACACACATACGTACAGAAAGGGAGACGGACGGGAGAAAAAGAGGAAAAATCAGGAAAAGCAACACACACACGCACAACATTCTGGAAAAAAAATCCACAACATACAATCACATACCAAATACTAACGCAGCAACATCCAAACATTTTAATTTCCTTCCGACTACTACAACATACGGAAACAAAAATACATATATAACAAACCATCTACAAAAACTTGGTGAGTGTTCTAATCGAGGTTCGATCAAAATTTTGCGGTATTCAATTTTTTTCTTGTCTCTTTAATTTATTTATGGAATTTGATGTAATTTTATGACAAGTTTCTTATATTTTGTTTTATTCATGAATTTGATTGAAATAATTAATTTGTTAGTTGTTATATCTCTATTTCATGAATGAAGGTAGCATTAGTCGATGATTATTATTATTATTATTATTTTTAATTTATTTTTATTTGTTACTTGTGATCTCTTAAAAATGAACGGGTCGTAACATTATTCTTGTCTTGATTTAGATAATAATGATAAAGTAGGTATAGTTAGGCTAAAAAACAAATAAATAAATAAATAAATTATTGTTATTTTATTTTAACAAACATAAAATGAGATTTATTTTCAACAATCCGTTATTGTTTTGTTTGAGTAGAAAGTGTATACTTAATGTTGATGTTAATTTTAAGAGTAATAAAATTATTAAAATATAAAATAAAAAGATATGAGTATGATCCAAGATTTTATCGTAGAATTTTAGTATTTTATTTTATTTGATTTTTCTTTATAAAGACTAAGTATTTTCTTTTAACATTAGAAACTTTTAAGTACGTTAAAAATATTTGTTTCGATTAAGAATGCGGTTGCGCATCTTTTTTGAGACATTAAAAAATTAAGGATGCGGTGACGCACCTTGTTCAATAATATAATTAAATTTTATTAATTTAAAGTAGAGACTTATAGAAAAAAAAGAAGAGATTATTAGGTGTGATACAAAGAAAACAGTTATGTCTCTAAATGTCAAGATCAAGAATGCGGTTACGCATCTAGGTTGAGACCCAATAAAGTTCAACAATTAAAACATGCGAGCAAATCATGACCTGAAATAATATATCCAAAAATATTTTAAAGTAAGTATAAGTCAATAAAAGCGACCGCGCTAGAACCACGGGACTCGAGGGATGCCTAATGCCTTTTCATCGATCAACATAATTCCTTACCCGAATTTTTAGTTCGCAGACCAAATAAAGAGTCATTCCTTTTGATTAGGGATTAAACGAAAAGGTGACTTGGAACACCATAACTCAATTCCAAGTGGCGACTCCAAAAAAAACAAATAAGA